CTACTTCTCCCTCTGACCCTCCTCCCTCTCGTGCTCTCTGTCTCTCATTCTCTCTCACAAATAAATAAATCAAATCTTTAAAAAAAAAAAAAAAAGGTTTTACCATTTTTTTTTTAATATTCTGCCAGCTGGAATCCAAACTAAAATCCAACCACCATAATCATATTCTACTGTTCTTGGTTTCAGGTCAAACTTCCCTTTCCTGTAGATCAAATCACAGATCTTCCAAGGAACGATTTCCAGATGATGATTAAGATGCACAAGCTAACCTCAGAACAGTTAGAGTTCATTCACGACGTCCGACGGCGCAGCAAGAACCGCATCGCGGCCCAGCGCTGCCGCAAGAGGAAACTAGACTGTATTCAGAATTTAGAATGTGAAATCCGCAAATTGGTGAGTTGATCCGTTTGTTGCTATCAGCAACCCGGAGTGATCAGGACTCATGCAAGGCTGCAATGGGGAAGGCTAGAGAAGTGGAGAGAGGGTCACCGTTCCGAGAGGTTTGGGTTTATTTTTAAACAAGTTTCTCAACAAAAGTAAATAGCTTTCTATCTGGAATTGGGTGTGTCTGTGCAGGTGTGTGATCACGTTTCAGTATTTTATATCCTTCAGCCTCCCTGCATTTAGAGGGAGTTCTTTCTCTTTGTTCCATTCAGCATGTTTTAGTAGCTAACATTTATTGCATACATGTGTGAACCAGGTGTTATTCTCAGCTGTTTTTATAAATGATAGCATTTAATCCTCACATCAACCCTGTGACTTAGATTCTATTTTCTCTCCATTTACAGAGGAGGAAATGAGTGCGGAGAGGTTTGCCAACTCCCCACTGTGTGGCAGAGCTTGAATGCAAACCCAAATTTTGTATTTTTCACCACTGCTTTCTCCTGCCTCCCACAGCAGAATGTAGAATCCAGATAGGATACCACGTGATCTCCTGAAGGCCCTCGAAACCCCAGGGTCCTTGATTTTGCAGTTCTGCCTCCAAGGGGCTGGCACCTCTTCCCTGTGCCTTTTGTCTCAGGGAACAAGCCCCCATCTCCCAGGCTCCCCTCACTGGGAGCTCGGTGCCCCCTTCTCCTCGGTAAGCAAGCTTAAGCTAAATCCAGGTGGCCTCTGGCTCCTGAGTTAGCTTTGAAGGCAACCAGTGCAACTTCATTCAGCTTGACTTTTCTGCTGGCCAAATACTGGAAACATCTTAGGTGCCATGTCCATGTCGGGCTGAAGAAGAGAGAGGCCACGTGATGTGCTTATGATCTAAGTCTGGGTCCTCAGACTATACGTGGTGATCCTTTGCCTCATGGTAGGCCACCGTCCTGATGAGAACCTAAGAACAAGATAAGACATTTGAAAAGCATGAGTAAATGTTACCTGTTATCAAGGTAGTCTTGGACCTCAGGGTCTTTTTTCTTTTTTAACTCCCACCAAGCAGGGAAAACCTGCTCCTCGAAGTGGCTCCCCTCTCCTGCAAAATACAGCCCAAGCTTCTCAGCAAGACATTCGTGCTTGCTCGTACAGGTTTAGTCCGTAGCTACCACTCCTGTCCTCCAACTTGACCCCTAACAGAATCCAATGCTTTGCACTTCCTGCCACCTGCTGTTTCTGCTTCTGTCTCTGCCTCTGCTGTCTCCCCTCTACCTTGGACATTCCTCAAGCATTTTCTTCTCTGACTTCATCCTTCATCTTTTAAGAATCAAGTTACTGTCCCCTCTCGAGGAAACTCCTTTCCTGAGTCCCCGGTGAGGCTGAGCACCCACCCTGGGAGCCCTGATCTGACCTCTGGCTTCGTGCTTATCACAGCAGTCTCGGCGCATCTACGTGTGTCTGTGTCCCCTGGCCCGAACGGCAGGTTCCTCACAACAAGGACAGTGACTGGATTGACTCTCAGTCTCACCAGTGCAGGCCCAGGGGGGCCTCTCAGGAAATGTCAGTTGCCCTGAAACATATTTGAAATTGTGACTGGGTTGTGGGATTACGAATTTCTTCTTTCAATTTTTTCTTTAATGTTGCTTTAACAACAACAATTGGTATTTAAGCCACATAAGGAAACAAGACATTGCTGCTGGTGAATGTGGGTCTTCTGAAAGCCCACTGCGCTTCAGTAGGGACCCAGCAAGGCTGAGTCGGCTGAGTACGAGCCGTCAGGGCCTTGAGCACACGTCTGGGGTCCTTCGGCCCCATGCCCCTCTCCAGGAAGTAGAATGATTCTCATCGCCCGTATTTAAGGAATGCCTGATTTTGTAATTAGAATTCTTTCCGTGTAATTTTGCAATACAAATAATAAAGTCTAATAACAATAACAACAAGTAATAAAGTCTAAACCACACACCAGGCAGATATCTAAAGCACTCTGCTGATACTGTTCAGCTGAAAAACGGGAGAGGGTATTTCCTACTTCTCCTCCCACTGGTTTTGGAAACCCCTTCAATAATAGGCTGCGTTTCCGCACTGAGTGAGGGTCTCATGTGCTCATCAATGTCCATCTGTGACTTAGAGCTTCACCCCTGTAACCAGGGCCTGGGTTTATACTGCCTTTCCTGCGGACAGCCAAAACACTGTCGCTGCATAAGTTCATTTTCTTCTCCCTCAAGGTGGCCCGGGACAGTTGGCAGATCAGTGGCAGAATGGGGGTCAGTGGCAGAATGGGGACTGAGATGGCCCTCCTAGGCCGGGGCGGTGTGGCCTCCCTCTCTGCAGGCCCCCAGGCCTTCCTGGCACCCCGGGATGCACGGCCACAAACGTAAGACTTTTTCGCAAGGAGATCTCCCCGCTGTGCTTCCTTTCTTATCCACCGCCTTCGCGCTTCAGCACTGGGCCCGCTCACCCGGCCCGGGTGCCCGGAGGGCGCTGGGCCCACTCACCTGGCCCGGGTGCCCGGAGGGCGCTGGCAAGCGGGGACAGGCCGGCCCACCCCGCGCGTCCCCAGCGCACACACGCTCCCCACTCCCACGCTGCCTGTGGCACGCCACTCAGCTTTTGCAAACTTGCATAATGTATTTCTCTCAACTCGCACTTGTACATCTGTTTATTTTTCATTTTTAAAACATGTTTTCTTGATAAATTTATAAATATTTGAGCAGGTGCCCTTTCCCCGTGTAAATCTCTGTCTCCGACACACATGCCCACGCTGCCTGCCAGATTGCACTCGTGAGCAGCACGCGCAGCTCCCGTGTCGGAGCCCCCGTCTCGTATGTTTGCTTCCCTCTCCTCCTTTCGCTCCCTCTTCCCCCCATCCCCGCTCCACTCTCCCTCCCATCTGGTGGTGATGTCCAGTTTCCTCGTCTCTTTCACTGTGTGCTCCCCGTGCAGCCTCCACATCTTCTCTCCTCGCACAGCGAGTTCGGGTGAAACCTGCACCAGCCTCCCCTCTAGCAGCGAAATTCGTCTCTCTGACGGGATGGCGAATTTTAGGAACACAAGAGCTTATGTGAGATTTTCTTGGAGGACGACATCTCGGAACCTCAGGCTAGGCTGCTAGGACTCGGTCTCCACGCCTCTGTCGGCCCTTCCCGTGTCCAGGGAGAGTCAGTGCTCCTGACGCACTGCACGGTCCCCACCTGTCCCCGAGAGGACCTGCTCTGTCCCGTCTGTCCGTCGCAAAGGCCAGACAGCCTGCTGAGGTTTGATCAAAGCATGTGAAATTGCCCGTGGTCGCTTTTTGTGGTTGTGATTTTTGTTGATTTTTTCAATAGACTTTTCTTTTTGGAGAAGTTTTTGGTTCACAGCAAAATTGAATGCCCCTGCGCCCAGCCCCTACGCGCTCACCACCTCCCCCATTATCAACACCTCCCACCTGAGTAGTGCATTTGTTACCATTGAGGAACCTGAATCCACACAGCATAATCACCCAGAGTCCATAATTTGTATCAGGCCTCACTCTTGGTGTGGTATAGTCTGTGGGTTTGGACAATGTATCCATCGCAACTGTACACTGAGTAATTTCACTGCCCCAAAAATGCTCTGTGCTCCACCCGTCCATCCCTCTCCCTCCCCCCATCCCTGGCAACCACGGGTCTTCCCCCCCCCCCCCCCGCCCATAAGATTCCCTTTTTCCAAAATGTCATAAAGTTGCAATTGGCCAATTTCTGACTTTCAAAAATGGCAGCCTAACGCACGGGGTGGGGGGGGGGTGATTTTTCAACGACAGGGTTTGGGACTGAGAGTTTTCCAGCTGTTGCTCCACAAACCCCAAATTCCAGGAAACCAGAGCCTTAACTCCCTGCAGTTCTCTGGTTGGTGGGAATGTTGCTGGTCACTCGCCAGAGGAGACGGCAGGCTCACTGGCGCACCTGGATAGGCTGCTCCGATAGGAATCTCAGTCCAGGCTCCTTGAATACACCTCTTGTAGGTGCCTAGATCCCGGCCCTGTCGTTCACAAGTGACCCTGTCCTACCAAACGCAGAAACGAAAGCTGGAAGGCCCCCGGAAACCAGGCCTTCTGTCTTCCCGTTCAGGCTTGACGGGGCCTTCTCTCTTTTCTCTCTCTGTTGCCCAGGTGTGTGAGAAAGAGAAGCTGTTGTCAGAGAGGAACCAGCTGAAAGCCTGCATGGGGGAGCTGCTGGACAATTTCTCCTGCCTTTCGCAGGAAGTCTGCCGCGACATCCAGAGCCCTGAGCAGATCCAGGCCCTGCATCGGTACTGCCCCGTCCTCAGACCCGTGGGCCTCCCCGCAGCCTCCAGTATTAACCCCGCGCCCTTGGGCGTCGAGCAGAACCTGGCCGCCGCGCAGTGTGCGGTGGGCGAAAGCGCGCCCTGCTGCTTGGAGCCCGGAGCGGCTCCCCCCGGCCCCCCCTGGGCCCCCGGCTGCGCCCCGGAGAACTGTACTTCCGGGAGGAGGCCCGAGGGCGCTGAGCCGGGAACCTTCTCAGAGAGGGCGCCTCCTCTTGAATCCAGGAGCCAGACGGTGACCGTGGACTTCTGCCAGGAGATGACTGATAAGTGTACGACTGACGAGCAGCCCCGGAAAGAGTACACCTAGTGACCCGGCCCGCCTTCCAGTTCTCCCACGTCTGCCCCCAACCCCCAGGGGGTTCCTCGGTCAGCCTGCGGTGCTGTTCATCTGTTGTCTGGAAGAACCAAGAAGGAATTTGGTGCACACTACAGCGTTCTCAGCAGCAATACTGTTTCTAAGTATTCCCTCCTCTCTCCACGCGGGAGTGATACACAGTTCCCCTCACAATGGTGCTACCCCTTGCCCAGGCAAGGAAAGACGGCGGTGGTGACGCTGCCTGTCTGTGGGTTAATTTCAGTCTCAACAGGGATAGACTATAACACCTCTAGGACCCAACCACGGATTTTTTTTCTCAGTGGCCCATGTCACAAACCCTATCTCAGGAATTTCTTCTGAATGTTCAATTTTTTCATTGAAGACAGCTTCTATACACATCAAAGTTTTATAGCTAGACTGTACATATTATATATAATATATATATAAAATATATATATATATCCATATGCAAAAGTCCTGCATGCCTCAATTTTCTCATCCTGAAACTGGAAACTTCATTTCTCGTTTATCAACAGGTTCCAACATTCCTCTTCTTTTGTCTCCGGTGCCAGAACTAGTTTGGTAACTGTTAACATAGTCATTTTTCTTGCTTCACAGTTCAATTTCAGTTTGTACTTATTTATGGAACAGAATTCAATGTTGGAAGCTTTCTTTTTTTGAGGTTTTATTTCAGACCCTTTTTCTATTGTCGTTCGGTTTGCTTTGGGCACCATCGGCCGGTGTCCTCGGAGTGTCGTGGGTTTGTTGTTGTTTTTTTTTTTTTTTTCTTGCAGATACTGTACAGTCATGGTCAACTTTGCCACTTGCACTGAGTTTTGGGTCAAACCTATTTTCTTAAATGAAGTTGTTATTACTTCAGTATAACTCAAGTATACTGTATATTCTTTGCTTTTAGTTGAAAAGTAAGACATTTTAGCTAATTAAAAAGCACTCAGGTGATAATTATGTAGGAAAAATAATCTTGCCAAATAATGAATTCATCCTAGGATGTGTAGACAATAATCTGCTTGAATATTTTTATATTTCACCTCCTCCCCACCTCTCCCGGAAGCAAAGTTTAAATGCAGAGAGTTCAGAGTTGATGCTGGATGTTCAGACTCCTAAGTGGGGAGAGAGTTTGGACGTCCACTCAGAAGTGCATCCAAACAGCAGGAACCCGTGATTTTGTACCAGAACTCAGCAGGCATTGGCTCCTAAAAATCAAGTTAGAACTATTTTCTCACCCAAGGGGCGAGTCCCATTCATTTCAACCCGTCCTCAGGCCTCTGCCTGTTCTTGGAAGGGCAGCGCAGGAGGAACTTCTCGGAAGGATTTGGCTGATCAGCCACCCGACCACCCCGGCCCCCTGCTCCCCTGTCCAGGCCCCCTGCACAGGCTGGGCTCCCAGGACCTCTCACCGGAGTCAGTTTAACTCACAGCACCTGGGGTCCTGCCTGTAAGCGGCGTCCTGGGTTAATGCAGCTTGCCCAGAGTAGGAGAGAGTGGGCGCATGTGAGCCTGGGGTCTGTCCCTGACGCAGGCAAAAGAATTTCTTTCTCCCTCCCTTCTCCAAATGCTTTGAGTTGAATTCTGGGGGTTTTCTGCTCGTCTCTTGTCCAAAGGCAGATTTCATTCTGAGGCTTTGGACACGATATGGGCAAGGAGCCCTCCCTGCCCCTTTACCCGGCCACACACACACACACACACACACACACACACACACACACACACCTACCCTCACCTGATGGTAATTTTCTTCTCTTGCTGCAAAACTGGCTGGCTTGCAACCCACAGAGAGCAGCTTCCCTTGGCTTTGGGGGTGTGCTGGCCCCTGGCCACGTTTACAGGAAGATGTGCCCAGACCCTGCCCCCAGCCTAAGAGGAGGCGGAGTCCCTCCCTCCCTCCCTCCGGTGGGCCCTCCAGCCTGGCTGCGGGACTCTTCCCGAAAGGTTTGATGTGGGGATGGGGTGGTGGGCAGTGGGGAGTAGACGGTTGACTTTGTTTCTTTATTTGTGCCATTGTTTGGACAATATTAAAGCTGCATGTAAAAGGGGAAATTAGTATATGATGTAGGCGAAAAGTGAAATCATAGTAACATATGTTTTAGTATTAACTTTTTTCTGTACAAATATTAGCGCTAAATGTTTAAATATGTATGAATGCCAGAAATTTGTTGGTTCATGCGGTAGGATTAAAAAAAAAAAAAGGCTTTTCTTTTCAAGTAGTTGCGCTTTTAAAACCTGCCTCTGGGTTTCTGTTTCTCCTCATGTGCGTGCGCATGTGCGTGTGCTGGTCTGAGACGGATTTTGATGCAGCTCCACGCTGGAGCTGCCGTTTTTATTACGGTTGTTGGAAGGTCTTGGCCTAGAGGAGCGGTTCTGTGCTTCACCGTGGGGTTTGCCTTTGTGGAAACCTGGTGACAGCCGGAATTTAAATTCAATGTGAATCGTGTGATGCACCACAGGTATGTGTTGCGGTGGAGGAGTCAGCCAACAGTATTTTGTTTTTTTTTTTTTAACTCTCTTGTTGCCTTTTTTAAGTGACCTCCTCTTCTTTTGGAAAAAAAAGAATGTTTCCTGCTAGTCTCATAACCAGGTCCAAACCAGCCTGTTGGCGTGATTCACCCTGGTGACAGCTCATGTGCAACTGGTAGTCTTGACCACATTCCACAGTCTCCCCCTGTCTGTCGTTCCGTCCGCTCGCCCCTGTGCTGCGGCCATGTCCGGGTGGGGGAGGGGGCCTCCTGATTTCCCTCCACCGTCAGCTCACGTTCTGCTGCCCCCAACCCCCACCTCGCTTTTCTCCCTCTTCCTCAACCAAATCCCGCTATGGGAACTGGTTAAAAACACTGCTTGAAAAACTCTTTCCATTTCTTAGAGATTTTCTAACGACTTAATGATTTTGTTCACTATGTACCATAAACAGTGATTGGCTTTGTGCAATTGTCTGTGTGACCTGTCTTGTCTTCTACTACCCTGAACCACATGTTCGTCAGAATTGTTTCCAGGTTGATTCAAAGGGAGGACTAGCTGGGGACCAGAATCCAAACTGCCTCAAGTGGAGTTTTAAAAACCAGCCTGTCTCCTTAACCGGGGATCCCTTGGTGAGGCCCGTGTCTTTTAGGAAAAACAAAAGCAAGTCAATAACAGGGAATAGTGTTTGCACAGCATGGTGACATGTAGTTGTGCTTGAAGGGTCCTTCCTTATAAAAATAAAGGACCCTCCCCCCATGGACTGCTTAGGAAGATCCCTGCCGAGGCCCAGTCGGGTCTCCAAATAGGTGGGCATGAGCCGTAGGGGCGGGGACCGTGGCGGTGGCCCCCTGGCTAATTACCATCTGCCTGCATCTAGTCCTCCCCTTGGATCTGCCTGTGTCCTACTTGTGTGTCCAGGCAACCTCGCTTCATTCAGGTTGGTCGGGCTTTGGGCAGGTGAGTGCTTTGCTGTTATGTGTTTGTTTCTCTGCGTTATCTGGGGGTGCCTTGAATAAAATCAAACTTCATTACGTACTGATTCTGGAACAAAACGATTGCAAAAACAAAACAAAAGAGCTGGCAAAGTGACTAGGCCATCCTGCTATTTCCATTCCGGGTGCCCTCACAATGACTCAGGCGTCAGAGGTGATGCTGCAGTATAAAACATTATTTTGTATATTGTACAAGTAATTTATTAACTGTCTTTCTAAAAGTATGCTGCTTTTAAGATGCACTATGACTTTGGATTTAATCCTTGTATTGCTTTCCCAAGGAAGTAAAAAAAAAAAAAAAAGGCTAGTGATTAGAATGCCAACTGCCACTTCTCCTTAAAAAGGAGGCCAGGGACCAGCTCTAGGACTTGCACCAGCGAACTGCCAGAAATTAAGTGGCCACAATGTGAAGTTCAAAGCTGTTACCAAGAGATCTAGGGGCGCCTGGCTGGCTCAGCCGGTAAAGCGACTCTTGATCTCAGGGTTGTAAGTTCGAGCCCCACATAGAGAGGACTTAAAATCTTCATTAAAAAAGGAGCTAAACCTACCTACACTTTCTCTTTTAATACCTTATGATTGCCTTTAAAGAAGAAGAAGCAAAGGTGTATAAACTCTAAGCCTTTTAAGAAATCCCAGAGTCCTGTCCCTATGGGCTACTCCACATCCTGTGGAGTAGCACAACCCTCCCAAAGTGGGTCAAGCCTGCAAAGGTACTCAGCTACAAAAGATCCACCTGGCTGGGTCTCCACATTCTACCCCACTGAAACTAGCAGCTGCTTAATTAATAAATGACTTCAACCTGCTCCCCTATCGCTTATAGTTTGGGAGGAGTCGCAGACCAGTAGGGAGCAAGAATCAAGTTTTGTCTTCAAATCACTGTAAATAGACTGAGGGGCAGAATCTTTTCTTTTTTTAAGAATAAAGCTGTTCACTCGATCATCAGTTAATAAATTTTCCCCAGACTGAGGATCTTGTTGCAGGCACAGTTACCGGCGAGTCAGTCCCAGGTGCGGTGCCCTGTGTGGAGTCGGTATTCGTGCAGGAAGTCCGTGTGCATGGAGGCAGTCTGTGTGTTCTCGGTACCGCCCGAGCCATCCCCTGACCCAGGCATCAAAGACTGATGCTGCAGAATAGACGGTATTTGTACACAGATAGTGTGTGCAGATAGTATTTGTACATAGAAAGGACCTATTGTGGCAGATTTTGAGGATAAATTATTCAACTGACGGTGCAAAAACATTTCTTGCAAAGAAAAGTAAGTGTATAGTATTTTCCTACACTCCACCCTGGGAGATAATATTTATATCAAATGAGTATCAGTGCATTTTAATTGTAATATGAGAATGAAGCTGCCATTCTGTGAAGAATACCCTTTGGTTGCAGAGGCCCAATTTGTAGCTTTGATTTCATGTTGTGACGTGGTGCATGCATCTCACTGTCAAGCGACGGATAAACAACTCTGACTTTCACTTCATTCCAGTTTATTGACCTCAGCTAAAACAGTGGCCCTCCTTAGAAGCAGAA